ATATATATATATATATATATATATATATATATATATATAATATAACTAATATTAGAATTAGAATCTAGAATTCTAGTTCTAGAATTCTAGAATTCTAGTTCTAGAATTGCGTCGCTCAAGGTGGCTGCATGTTGGAGCAGCTCTGTTTCTTTCATTCTGAGATTTTGCTTTTGGAAACTTTAAGTCCTGTTTTTCTGGATGTAAATCACATTTTTTTGGATGATTGTTCCCTCTGGTATCAGATGCTGTGCAGCTGAAAGGATTTTTACTGAAACTTCTTTAGTTTTGGACATTTGTTATGATGCGTAACCATGGCAATGAGGCAGTTTTCTACAACCAACAGCAGCTGATTAACATCTCAAAAGCTCAAATAATATCTCAACTACAGCCCCAAAACTCAAATAAGTTGAAAGGATGTTCTTTGGACGCATTCTCATCTACCTGCCAGCTGTGCTCGAGTGCCTGACCACTGAGATCCTGGAACTAACAGGAAACATGGTTCATGACAGCGGAAGGACAGGATCGTCCCTCGGCACCTACAGTTGGATGTCCGCAGCGACGAGGAGCTCGGCAGACTGCTGGGAGGAGTGGCCATCGCTCTGGGAGGAGTTCTGCCCGCCATTCAGGCGGTCCTACAGCCTGGGGGAACCGAGAGGCCAGCTGAGTCTGGGTGGACGGATTGGACGGCATGTGCTGCCAATTTCTTAGGATCCACTGTGGGATGGATCTTTACAAGAGATCCTTCCTGCCTACAGCCATCAGCGTCTATAACATCTCTTAATGAAATGAGGATCACGAGTTACAACAACAAATAATTTCTCTCTGGGATTAATAAAGTATTTTTGAATTGAATTGAATTGAATTCCAATCTGGCTTCAAATCTCTCCATAGCACTGAAACTGCTCTACTGAAGGTTTTTAATGACATTTTCATATCCACAGACGCAGGTGATTCTGTGCTGCTTGTCCTATTGGACCTTACATCTGCTTTTGACACCATCGACCACAAGATCCTCATTTCTAGACTGGAGCAGTGGGTGGGCATCACAGGGTCAGCCCTTA